TGGGCAACAAAAAATTAGCTACCGGTTCTGCCGAAGTGGTGCAAACTGGCTGAATCCCACCACTGATGTTGATTGATTTCACATGGTTAGGAAACTATATTGCAAAAGTCCAAAGCAAAGTAGATATCAAGCACTTCGTAGTATCCGAAGCAGGACATCCAGATTCAACCAGAGTTTCATTCCATACAGCATTAACCTTGCGAACTCTCAAGTTTCCTCCTTCCGTTATATATTCAAGATGGACAATATTTAATATTTATTTTCTACGTATATGTAGGGATGTGGGTCTATACATATGTTGTTCATAGAATGTTTAGGTGTGTGTCATGTATGTGTTTCACTTTATGAGCGGGCAACTAAATTTCATTTTTGATGTGTGCCATTGTGACCATAGTATAAAAATGACAATAAAGGTTATCTTATCTTATCTTAAATTAAATTAACTATGGTCAAAAACCCCTTATCAGGCTGGGACTTGCAAAGAACATTCGAAACAATCAACATACTGAGAAACTGAATTAGCAACATTCATGTACACTGCTCTACTATTTGTCAATTAAAATAGATATAAAATTAAGTGAAAGAGGCCAGAGCGATTCATTGATAAACTGGAGAAATGCCATTTACATTGCCTAACCAAACTCTCCAGAAAGATTCTTTAAAAAAAACTGACAGCAACAAAATCAAAGAGCAGCTACCTGGAGAAAAATCAAATTTCACTCACTTCAGCATCTCCCCCCCCCCATCCTGTTTATTCTTCCTCCTCCCTTATCTAGTATGTCAGTAACAGAAACGCAGAGCATTAGCTCCTCCAACTGACTATCCAGGACATTGTCTTCTTCCTTCGGTACAACTAAGGTACTCTGAATAGCATCTGAATGCGTACTGAACGCTATATGTGTGTATGTACTGAAAAATTCATGTACAAATCTGAAAAACTAAGATACCAGTACCAGTTTAAAGAAGAGCCAGTTTGAAGAAAAAGACCAAATACAGCTCAGTAAAGATTAATAGCAATATTACACAATTCACTTTCATTTTTCCTTATATCGCACCTTATCCTTTAATTTGTTGCAAACATGGGGTGGGTATCTTTAAAAATTGTTCCATTTAAGTTAATCTTTTAAAAAGAACTTGTTTCTTTCCTCTAATTAAATACAGGATAATTTAAATTATTCCCTCTCTCTCTCTCTGTCTCTGTGTGTCACTCTCTCACACACACACATATACACACACACACATGACCATTTTTTATATTTACAACTGTTGCAGCATCCCCACGGTCAAGTGATCAAAATTCAGATGCCTGGCAACTGGTTCATATTTATGACGGTTGTGGTGTCCCGGGGTCATGTGGTCACCTTTTGTGACCTTCTGACGGGCAAAGTCGATGGGGAAGCCAGATTCACTTAACGATCATGCCACTCATTTAACAAGTGCAGTGATTCATTTAACAACCGTGGCAATAAAGGTCATCAAATGGGGCAAAGTTCACTTCACAACCGTATTGCTTGGCAACAGGATCTAAGACTCCACCCCAATTTAACCACAACAATGTTAAAAAAGATACATAATGGTCTAGCAAAAACCTGGTTCACCCACAATGCTAAAAGAGAAACCATTGTTATAAACCACAATGTTATAAACAACATCTCATTAAGCAAAAATCAAACAAATCACATCAGAATGACCGAACCCAGCATTTTCTCACAAAAACATAAACTTCATATTCAAAATATCAGGCATTATTTTTCCTCCTTTAAAAAAAAAACAGTGCAAAAGCAATTGTGGAATATCTGCTTAGGGTAGCCATAAAAATCTTTTAGCTACTTTCAAGAACAGATATAGTAATCCTTTTTAATACTGCATGTTAAAAACACGTGTACACACCACTTTTCCACGTTGTCCTTTGGAAAGCTCCATCATTTTAAATGAAAACATTTATTCACACAGAGTGGCTCCCAAGAAGAGCTCTTCTTCTAAAAAGGTCTGGTAGATTTTGTAAAGGTTTTACAGTAAGTCTATATACCTTTTAAAATTTCAATTTTGTAAATATATTGGGATAGCTGTAAAGATGCTTTTTCTTCTTGAAAAATAGCCAAAATAGTATATAACAAAGGCAAGCTCAGTTTTGACCTCTTCTTAGGGAAAAAAAACATAAACCTACAGGCTCCCAGACAAATCTTATTAACTTTTGACATTTAGTTACATTCTACTATGAAAACTTTGTCCGCCAAGCTAAGCTTCAGAAACATCAGAGCAACTTAATCTAACATTTGCTGCAAGTTGTTTGTGTTCTCAGCCAACAACATGGTATATTTATACGAGAGTAAATCATACAAAACCAATGTCTCTCTGATGTCACGGTAAGCATTCCTTATACATTTATTCATAAATATATTAATGGCCAAAGAGACATCTTACATATTTGTCTTGAAGTCCTGAGTGCTAAACTGCTTGCTAAGCAGTCTATTTATTTGCAGGCATGACTTCTTCCATCCTATATTATTATGCTTATTGACTTCCAACATTACTTCCCTTCACACACACAATACAGGTAGTCCTCGACTTACAACAGTTCGAAGTTACAACGGAACTGAAAAAATGACGTATGGCCATTTTTCCACACTTAACAACCATTGCAGCATCCCCATGGTCATGGGATTTACATTTGTATGCTTGACAACTGGGTTCCTATTTATGACAGTTGCAGTGTCCTGAGGTCGTGTGATCACCTTGTGTGACCTTCTGACAAACAAAGTCAATGGGGAAGCCAGATTCACTTAACAAACATTGTTACTAATGTAATAACTGCAGTGATTCACTTAACAATTGTGGCAAGGAAAGTCATAAAATGGGACAAACCTCAGTTAACAAATTTCTCACTTAGCAACATAAATTTTGGGCTCAATTGTAATCATAAGGACTACCTGTATTTCATAATTTAAGTCTATTTGGTTTACCATAGCTTTCAATTCGCTCTTGCTATCTTTAAATTAAATACTCTTATTGTTCTTTCATGCAGGTTTGGTGATACTGTTTTGTGTGCGTACAGTCACACAGTCTAGAAACTAGCCCAGTGGTTCTCAACCTTTTTAATGCCGCGACCCCAACCGGTCGTAAGTCGAGAACTAAACTGGTCGAGGACTAAACCGGTCGTAAGTCGAGGACTAAACCGGTCGTAAGTCAAAAACTTTCCCTGCCCGGGAGCGCCGCACATGTGTGGTTCCGCCCCCTGCGCCGGCCGAGGCGTAGCTGGCAAGCGGCAGAGACAGAGCAGGCCGACCACCAGCTGGCCCAGCCCAAGGGAGGTAAGGCACCCGCCGGAAAAGGGGGAAAAAAAATGGCGAACAAAAAAAATGGCGGACAGCCTTGCTTGGCGACCCCCGTGAAATGGTCGATCGACCCCAAATGGGGTCCCGACCCACAGGTTGAGAACCACTGAACTAGCCAATGTTGTTCATGTCGTATTTTGTGAAAAAGTATGCTGATTTCCCTTACATTCTTTGTTGGAATTTCAAAAGAATTGGGAGGTGGCTTGGGGGGGGGGTTGAGATAACTACACGAATGATTGCATATTTGCTTTATATAAAATTCGGGTGCAGAATGCAAATGAAGACAATATTGTTCAGTTTGTACCATAAATTGTTCCTGCAAAAGTCAAACATTGTTTTTTTCTTGGCAGCTAGGCTGTAAAAAATATTAAAATATGTCTTTCAATCTGCTGCCTGCAATCTGCATACACAAAGCAGAAAATTAGGTTGGGGGCAAACTTTAATTAAAAAAAAAAAGCAACTAAAGAAATCTCACTGGTCTTCTTGAGTAAGATTCGTTTACTTAACTGTTAAATTTTAGTCTTAAGACCAGGAAGTACTAATGGAAAAAGCGCTGATGAGATTACCGTATCTTTTCCTGAAATCATTTATTTCCTATTGGAATATTTCAAAGCCTTCAAAAGGTTTTTAAAAAAATCCTTTCTTTTGTCAATCTTTCTTCAGGTTGGCTGGCAGACAGAGGTCACAAAAGATTGCCACTCCATCCACTAGTGTTGTAATCTGGGGTGCAAAACATGGTGAAAAAGGTTTTGGCCAATCTATTTTGTATACATTGGAATGTTCAGACTGTTTTGAGTTTTGCCCATTAAATTGTGGCTAAATTGGAATGAATGAAATGAAATATTTTGAGCTATTTGGGTCTCAAGCTTGAAGCAAAACATATTTGTATTTCTTGCACATTCCTGCTGGGTTTTTGAGTAATGTATGCAAAACCAATATAAGATATATGGCACTTTTTTGAGGGGGGGGGGGGAGAATGCCTTCAATTTAGTCTGGCAACGACATGAACAAGTCCATAAAGTTTTCTAGGGAATAGGGGTAGACCTTGATGTATGTCCATAATGGGGCCTGCCTGCCCGCCTGCCTGCCTGATTTTAAGTTTTTTTGCAATGGTTGTTAAGCAAATGCAGTGGCCATAAAGCGAACACCAAGTAAATGCCCTCGTCATTAAGCAAACCAATGCTTCGCTATGGGTGAGGTTTTGCTGAAAGCTCGAAGTACTGGTTTGGGGAAAGCATTGAAAAATGCAGTCACGTGACCACAGGACACTGCAAATGGCCGTAAATGTGGGAATGTTGCTGAGCACCCAAATTTTGGTCATGTAACTGAGGAGGGGACCCAACCATTAGAACTTCAAATTTGGCTTAGAAGTCCCCTTTTTGGGTTGATCATTAATTTGATCGATTGTAAATCAAAGACTACCTGTATTTTTCAGAAGTGGTTTTCCATTGTGTTCCTTTATAGGGCTGAAAGGAATGTACAGTCTAACAATAACTGCAGCATGTATGATGCAGCAAATTCATAATTGATTAAAGTAAAAAACTAGCAGATCAAAATGAAGAGGAGCCCAACACCAGCAATTATTTTTGCACCCCCATATATACTTTTTGTAAGAGTTTTCAAACTAAAACCAATTATTGAGTTATTCAAATATACAGTACTTACAATATCATACCCCAAGTTAGCATACTGAAGAAACCTTTCAACTAAAGAATGAGATAGCTGATTAAATCTGTAACGGAAGAGGTCCATTTCTTGTTGGATAAACCATCTCTTAAGCTCCTCCCTGTAATAAAGCAATGAACGCATAATGAAAAGCAGTTGATTTAGACACATCCAGTAAATAAGAGTTTCTCTAGAGCAGACATGTCAAACTCGCGATGTCATGTAATGTCGCACAACGTATCGGAGCTTTTTCCCCATTGCCGGCAATGGGGTGGGCGCAGTTTCCTGGTGACGTGTCCGGCCCGCGGGCTGGCAGTTTGACACCCCTGCTCTAGAGACTTAATTTCAGTGAGATAGGAAAAAAGTTTATTCACATTTAACTTTCTCTTTTTACAGCTAATTGGAACAAAATAGAGTTCATAAGTCCTCAATGTTATTTGTAAATTCTTGCTAAATCATTATTGAGTTCCTATGAGTAGCATTTTGCTTATAAGAATGAAACTATTTTTGCTGCCTCCTTTTTAGAGCAATCTGAATATCTGTATTATAGGAAGCTACAATATAATTTCAGTTCATACTGTACATGGAAAAAGCACTTCCTTCCATGGGTACCACATTATTTGGTCCCTGTATTAATCCTAGCACTTAAAGAGATTAATAAATAAAAAGTATTGCAATCAAGTTTTTTCACTACTAAATGTCCAAGTTTCTAAGCATTCATAAATCCAATTCCAGTTTAAAACTTTGAGGAGGCTATTATTATTAAAAATCATCGCCTTTCCGCTAAACAACTTAATATAATTAAGATGTGTTTAAAGTAAATTTCACTGAAAGCAGTGAGAATTGCAACGTACAATTACGCACTTCAATTACACACTTCAATTACGAGGCTACTTTCAGACAATAGCAAGTTTGAATACAGCATATAATTTTAAAATTATTTTATTCAACCATGCAAGAAATTGTACAAAAGCATAATTTATTTAGAAAAGCAGAATGGCAATTGACAAGAGTTAAAGGTTTTATTTATACTGTTTGGCCCTGATGCCCTTGCACTCTCTGAAAGACCATTAGGTATTAAATGGCAATCTACTATTACCATTTAAAAAAAAATCAAAAATAAATTTGGACAACATACAACAAATTTGAATTACAGAATCGAAATATCCTATATTACCCAAAAAATGTCTTCAGGTTTTATGGAATATTAGATGTGTGTCTTATGATCAAAATTAGAGAAGCAAATATTAATATTAATTAAATTATATGCCTCAAATCAATTGACAATTGACCCTTGTTATTATGTACTCATAGAAGTTCAGTTGTACAGTATCCCAGTCTATAAAGACTACCCTTTGTATGAACTCTGTACTTTCAGATAGGAAAGACTGGACCATATGCTTCTATATAATCTAGATTCAATTTTTTGTTTAAAATAAAATCACGGTATAGAGAAATTGAATAAAATTATGTAATCTCTAATTTTTGTGTGCAAATAATATTATGTATATTCTTTATGTATGTAGAGTAGCATTTATATACCGTATTATACTATGACTCGACTTATACTATCTATATAAATAAACTGGAAAATTGATGTATCACTATTTAAATGTATTTCTATCTATACAGAAATAGATATAATTTAAGTATTTAGGTGTTTCACTTTATTAAATTGATTTGTACGCTTAATTTAGAGGTTTTCATTTTTTCCTAATTTTCCTGTCTCCATTTTGTTTTTTTAGATAATTTAATTTTTCCTCCACCTTCATAACTCAAGATTTTTTAAAGTAGTTAGTTTATATAATACTAATATAGTTACATCACATTAAACAAATTATTTTTAAAATCAATTGTAATATTTTTACATTCAATAAAAATGTGTGAAATAACATATAGAACATTTTGTTTAAACTTACATATGGAATATGCCAAATATATAGCCAGCAATAGTGTTCTCTTTTGTTCATAGACAAAAAAATTTAAAACAAGTAATTGTGATATGAAACTACAATATCAAATATTTTTGAATAAAAAAATGTGTCAATGTACGTTTTGCCTCATGGTGGCACTGTTGAACTACTAAAATCTCTAGCAGACAATCAGCTCTGGCTTTCTCACCACCATACTATCACACATACATTGTAAAATTATGCCTGTTTCTTTCAACTTGTTGTGTACCACCTTAACATTAAGACATCACATGATACAAAAAGCTTATTTTGAAGAATTAAACATTTATTGTAAGCATCTGAAGCTTACGAATAAATCCTAAAGACAACATAATGATTATTTAAATTGTTGCCAAAACGCCTGATGGAAAAGCCAGGATTCTTCTGATAACTTCTTTCTTCGTTTCTCAATTTGCCCAATATAGGCTTAAATGCACAGAGAGAGAGAGAGAGAGAGAGAGAGAGAGAGAGAGAGAGAGAGAGAGAGAGAGAGAGAGAGAGAGAGAGAGAGAGAGAGAGAGAGATTGAAGTGTCCTCAACTTACAACCATTTGTTTTGTGACCATTCAAAGTTACAACAGCATTGAAAACTTATGACCATTTTTCACACTTGCAACTGTTGCAGCATCCCCACTGTAACATGATCAAAATTTGGACAGTTGGCAACTGGCTCAGATTTATGATGGTTGCATAGTCCTGCGGTCATGTGATCACCATCTGTGACCTTCTGACAAGCAAAGTCACTTAGCAACCGTGTTACTAACTTAACAACTGCAGTGATTCACTTAGTAACATGCTGCAAGAAAAGTCATAAGATGGGAGAAAACTCACTTAACAACTGACTTACTTAACAATTGTAGTCATAAGTCGAGGATTATGGGCTCAATTGGGCTCAATTGTAGTCATAAGTCGAGGATTATGTGTACTTAAAAGAGCATGTGGGATTATCTCCTGAAGAGCTAAATATTTATAGACTTTTATTGATCTTTTGACAAAGAAAAACCACTTTCCACTCACAACAATAAATGATTTCCATTTTTTTTTCAGAAATCGTGCATTATAATAGCATCAACCTAAGAGGTATTATATTTAAGGAAGACCATATCTACAGCCAAAATGCTGGCTGTTAATAATAAAGCTGTATATAGCATAGGGCAGGGGTAGGCAACCTTGGCTCTTTTTTGACTTGTGGACTTCAAGCTGGCTCAGGAATTCTGGGAGTTGAAGTCCACAAGTCATAAAAGAGCCAAGGTTGCCTACCCCTGGCATAGGGCCTTATTATTTGAGACCCTACTATCTGAGGATTCATCTTTCCCCAAATGGGACAAGCCCGTCCCACTTGTGTCAGTGGAAGAGGCCTGCTACGGATGCCATCTTCTCAGGAACTGAAGCAGGTGGGGTCAAGAAGAGCCTTTTCCACTATGGTCTCACCCCTGTGGAACAGTCTACCACTAGAGGTGAGAACTATCTCCTCCTTTTGGCCTTCCAGAAGAATATTAAAATTTGGCTTTGCCAGTTGGCTTGGGCCCCTAGGGGGCGCTTATCACTGAAGGTGGCTGACTGGGTAAGATGACCTCATCTCTGTCCTGTCCATCTCTTGCCTCTTTTAGTTTCAGTTTTAGTATTTTTTAATGATATTTTAGTTTTAAGGATCTAATTATTTTCACTTGTTTTATAACTTGTAAGACACCAGGAGTCATCTTCTGAGGAAGATGGGTGGCATTTTTTATTAAAAAAAAAAGAAAATAAAAATAAATTTAAAAATTGGATGATCTTAAAGACCTGGCTTTTCATCCAGGCTTTGAGGTAGGTAGGTAAAGTTCCTTCTGAATATCTTTATTTCTGCCCAGATTTCACACATTCCTTTGTCTTACTGGAATGTTTTTTTCCTGTGTTTTTAATTTATGAACCACCCATAATTGCTGGGATTCAGGCCACACAATACAGTATTTTAATAATATCTGCAAATAAAACACTTTCTTCCTCCTGCCATATTCACTTACAGAGATTTTTCTAGCCATTTTGGAAACCAGAACTCCAATATATATACAATATCAAATACATCCGAAAATTATAATACACTATAGGTATTAACATCTGGACCTTATAAGAACTAGATCAGGGATAGGCAAGCTTGGCTCTTTTATGACTTGTGGACTTCAACTCCCAGAATTCCTGAGCCAGCCATGCTGAGGGGAAAGGGAGAGGTTTCCAAGTTGAGCCATGCTGGCTCAGGAATTCTGGGAGTTGAAGTCCACGAGTCATAAAAGAGCCAAGGTTGCCTACCCCTGCTCTAGACAAATAGTACTTACGATTGGCAGTAGGCAAGGCGCAGTATAAAATGAGAAATATGGTCTTTTCTTCTTGCATCATAATCATCTTCAATCAAAGCCTAGTTAGAAAGAAATATAGCAGAAAAACAAAACCTGGATCACAAACAGCATCGCATACTATATATTAGTGAGTGGTAACATCGCCATGTAAACAGAAGACAAGCTCAGATAACTAGTTTTCCTCTTTCCTACTTTCTTTCCCTACTTTCCTACTTTCAATCTCCTGCAACCTCAAAGCATTCTTTAGAGAATCAAGGTACAAAACAGTTCAAGTTGTATTTTATTGATTGCAATTGGGGAAAAAAACGTTTATAAGATACTTTTGTCTAATTTGGTCAATTACACCCACCACCTTACTGTAGACCCAACACACAAACATTTCCCTGTTTGTCATCACCTGAACTCACTGGAAAAGTATTTTGGGTAGTTCAGGAGTCTACCAGGCAAAGAGGGCAGGATGTAATGGATGAAGGAAAAGGAAAGAATAATCCTAATCTACCTTTTGTTTTCTACAATTTTGTATTCTACTGACCTTAACACTTTGCTATAGGGAAAGATAAAAAAAACAGTCATTTATAAGGGCAATAACAGGGCTAACTGCAGGGTTTATTACAAGGGCCATCAATTGGAACCAGGTACACAATAATCATTTGGAAGTATAGGAGGAAGTGCCAAATTCAAAGGTGAAAATTGCATTACATGCAAGATCCATTTAAATTGGGTCTCTCCTCAGATGGTATTTTATTTTATCCTGGGTGCCAAGCTTCAAGGACATATTATTCACTTCTACTTACATAATATGGAAATTTAAGGTGGCGAAGTTCCGACTGTAGCTTTTCTTGGTAAGACTCACTGCCTTTCACATAACTCACACCCAAGTTCTCAACTGTTTTGAGTACTGCAATAACCAGACAAAGAATCTTGAAATATGACAGTGGAGCAGTGATTAAAAACACACAGTATCTGAAAATATTAATTTTCATGCAATCAACATATTCTAGCACTAAGAACCAGATTATACCAATCACATATATTATGAATGCTATCATATTGAACAGAATTCAAAATGTATTAGTTCGGTAACTCTGAAAAAGATGAAGATAGATATACAATTCCACCAAAATATGAACTTGGATCATTCTGAAAAGCTACACATAATGAAACAACTGTTTTGTGTTATATACTCTATATACTCACATTTTAATCTATCAACTGCAAAACTTTCAAACTCCATCAGAGAAATATTTTCAGTAGGGGGCTGCAGATAGAACTGGACACTAAGAGGATATGACTCTTGTTTATCCCCCAATTTCAAAACTCCCCGTTTGACATATGAAGAAAACTGCATTTTTTCCACATAAACCTATAAAGTATGTTGAAAAACTTTAATAAAATATGGAATGAACAATCAAGACAGAAAAAGATAAGCATGATTCAGAATATTCATTACATATATAACAATACAAGTTTTATTCTGGGATCAAATTGCTTCTAGGCTTGGTTACATGTTTTGATGTTATGATTTTCTTCCAAACCACAGCTACATATTTTTAAAAGCAATTCAAACTTTACATTTTGTAAAAATCAAGACACTGACAAGGAAATAGCATGAGGCAGTCACCAGGAATTGAACTCA